AAAATTAATGTACACAAGTGTCCCTACGTGACTTCCAGAAGCACAGTTTTAATAGCTCCTCACAATATTCAATTTGGTGCATCAACCGTAACTTACTCACCCATTCCCATTATCAAACAGCACATGTCTTTCTCTCTGTCACGGCTACGAAGACTGCAAACCTGGGAACCACTTAATTTAATAGTCTCTCCCCTCGTAATGGGCGCTTTCTTTAATCCTGTCAAAAACTAAAAGGGGCATTGCATTTTTATTCCCAACAGTGGTCTGCTCTTGTTTGCACGGTGTATTTTCATGACACAGAAGAAAGCGCTTTCTTTAGTCTTCCTAGTGCAGGTATCAATCTTATTTATCCTTTGCCATTCTAATCAAAAACAGTCTAGGTTCCTTGGCATGCATGACTTTATTATCATGTTTTCAGACACAGGCGGGCTTTGAGGTGGGGACTGGCTCCTGTCTGTGGGATGCTCATCACTGGGTTAATCCACGGGTGGGTTCAGAGCTGCGTGCAACCTTGAGGCTGGCTCTGCTTCCCTTCTTCCCGCCGTCTGCTCCCTGCCCTGCCTAAACTGTCTTTCCTTTGCTGGGCCACCTCCCTCGAGAACTGCTGCCTGTGGCCAGAACCTCTGCACCTGTGGGAGGATGCAAACCTTTCCTCCTTTAACCTGGAGGTGCAGGGTCCTGCGTTCCAGCAGTGGGGAGTGAGTCGGGCTCTCAGACTGGTGCAGTAGCTTGGTCTTTCTTGTGCTGTGATTTCCTGCTTCTTGGAGGCAGCAGCTCCTGGGTCCTCTGGCTTCCCCGAGGACAGGCAGCCTCTGAGGGCTCTCCTGCCTCTAGTGGTACAAGCCTTCCTAATAAATCCCCTTGCAGGATTTATATAAATTCTATTCTTCTGGAGAACTCGAATCAATGCTCTAGGTGACAGAAACCACAACAGCTAAATCTGGAAAGTAACAAATAATCAAAACATAATTCTCGATCGAATAACATCGTTTTTATTACACAGTAACTTGATTATAACAGATGGACCATGTGCTCACAACAGTGAGAGTCACCCTTGATTACTGGTGTTTACAAAATGAACTTTATTGCTTTGCTCTCAGCTGCCTTCTCAAACCTGTATTGGTGCTTATCTATCGATTAGAAAGTGTTTTACGGTTTAAGAACTCTTTTGGTTTCTGTTGTGACTCGGCTTATTTTGCTGTTTTTCTGAAATGACCAAGTATCTTGGTGTTTTGTTACTCTCTGGATTCTTATGTTTACCCATCTTGTGCCATCGTATTTCGTCATGATAGTAATGTGTTAGCAAGCCATCAACTTTTATTAAGACAGACTCCAGGGTTTCCAAATCTTATAGTCATTGATTTACAGGTTTCTGTCTTAGGATCCAGGTATATTTTGATTATCAGGATTATGTTTTTCTCCTAAATGAAGCTGAGTTTTCTTTCCTTCTGCTGGGCTTTAGATGATTTTTTGTCGTGTGGAAATTTTCTGCTGCTGGGTGTTTGCAAGACCTAGTCCTAAAATCAGTGAGACCTCGGGCTTCCCCGGGAGTCCTCCTCAGCAGTCACCAGCTGCCTTAAATGCTACTACGGGTACATTTTGTGTGCATGTTGGAATAGCTTGGCAATCTGAATTAACGTTTTATAAAATTACCTGGTATTTTAAATTTCAGATTCACACGTCAACTGTTGCATTGTGTTATCCTGCCTTCCTTTGAAATTTTTCTTTCAAGTTCTTTTTCCTTCTAGACTTCTTTCTAGGTTGCATCCTTTTGCTGTGTTGGCTCAGAATATGGTGCTGTGATGGTTCACTTTCTAGCATTTTTATTGTTTTTTATTTTTCTTTCATTATCAGATTTTCTCCTTTAAAAAAGTTCCAGGGCAGAACTTTGTTATTTACTTTAGTTATTTGCTGTATGATTTGACTCTAAAGAACATTTTTAAAATTTAAAAATCACCGTATTTCCCTCTCTCTTTCTCTTTTCAGTACTATAGATTAAACTCAGGGCCACTGCTTTGAGCCACCTCTCCAGCCCATTTTTTATTTTGAGGCTCAGTCTCTCTAATTTCCCCAGCCTGGGCTTGAACTTGTGACTCTATCACAGCTTCCTAAAGTGCCAGGATTGTAAGCCTGTGTCACCAGTCCTGGCATATTTATGGCTTACTTATTGACTACCCACTTGGCATTAGGCTTTGACTGGGCATCCATGATATCACTATGAATATTATTTTCACTGGAAGCTTACATGGGTGGAAAAGAGTTATTGGTAAATAAGGACTGAAAAAGAATGATGGTAAATATTAAGGTTTGTGTCTGGGTATTCCCCCAAAGCCTCATGTAGTCATGGAGGTGGCCAAATCTAGAGTTCGTGATTGCTTCATTGTCTAGTACTGGCATTGGCTGAGTGAATGCTGCACCCGCCCAGGGGCGGAGCCAGCATACATACAAGGGAGGGAAGGAGGTGTGTTCTTCCCCTTTTGTGCCCTTTTGCTCTTGTTACTTGTGGGTGTCATAACTGGCTGCCCCTCAGCTGCGCTACCCTGCCTTGGACTCAACTGAGTATAGACTGAAACCTCCAAAAACTGCAAGCTAAATAAACCTTCCCTTCCTTCATATTGGGGGTCAGGTATTTTGTTTCAACAATGAGAGAAAAGCAATCAAGACAGTAAGCACTATAAAATGGCCATAGAGTGCTCTAAAGATGTAGAAAATGAGAAAGACCAGGCAGCATTTAATAAATATTAACACTTGCTTTTCTTTCATGTCCTGGGTCATCTCTAAGACACAACCCAAAATATTTTACTTGACTGCTTTTAGTCTCCTTCATGCTCTTCTCTTTCAGGGTGGGCTGTGTTCAAACACTGATCCAGTCCTTCCTTCCATCCTCCATCCCTCCATCCTGCCCTCCCCTCTTATTCTCTCTCCCCTCTCGTTTCTTTCCCTTCTTTGCTTTTCTCCTTCATCATAATTTAACCAATCATTCCATCTGTGTGTATATGTGGCTATGGGCTCAGAAATCTCTCTTCATTGGCCAGGAATATAGCTCAGCAGCACAGTGCCTGCCTGGCAAGCACAACGTCCTGAGTTCAATTCCAAGTACCAAAAAAAGTCTCTTTCTTCACATCTAGACAGTGCACCAAGTGCTGTGAGTGCCTAGGATGGCAGTGGCTCTCTGCTCTGGTATTAATGGTATATTCTGTTTACTACAGCACAGAGTTTTCCAAGGTGAACCAGAAATTAATAGAAATTAATAGAAAGTGCATGAGAAAATAATTTGGGCATCTTTGTGTTAAAGGCTTGTCTTTTCTGTTAGCTTTTTCTGAGACTTTAATGTGTTTCGGCATCCCCCAGAAAGAAACAGGGAATTCAGCATTTTCATATTAATTCAGTGCAGAGCCCTCTTGAGGGAATGCAGGTCCGTGCAACAGGCTTTAGGAAGAGCTCTTTTCAACCTTCCTAGATGCATGGGCTTCAGTCCTACTGGACTCAGACATGGACAGGCAGAATAGCATCTGAATGTGTTCACATGTACAGGACAAGGTTAATGGTGGGATAAAACAGAATTAGAACAGAAAGCACGCTCAAAATTTACAGTATAATATGTAAAATATCTAGACATGCAAATTATACATATATAAAATGCATACATTATATAACTATGTAATATAAAACAATTGTTTTAATTGAAACTTTTGTGTGTGTGATGGTTACATAGAGAATGGCTCCTGGAAAATGTGAGAGAAAAAGACCTATTTGCGAGACAGCAAAATAGCGTGAAAAATGTCACAAGTGACTGCAAGACTGGCTTTTAATTTCCAAATTGGTGAGATCTATGATTCTCATTTACAGGAGCCAAACTATTCTGGCAAAAGCCTAAGGAATTGAATCTGCCTCCACCTGGATGCTGTGCAGGAGGGGTAACGAGGAGAGAAATGTTCATGTTTCTTCTAAAACATTAAAACCACAAGCACTGCCTACAGCTTGGCACTAATTCAAAACAGGATGACAAAATGCACTAACACCCTGGGGATCTTTGTTTCCAAGAACAGTATTGGTGGACTCACTATTGTTTTTCTCCTAAAGTTTATTTTTCAATAATTTAAGATTTATGAAAGATAATTTTTGATGTGACTATCACTAGCATGAAAAATGTAACCAAATTCAGCAAAAATGTACAAATTGAGTTTGTATTCATTATTCTGTTTCTCTTGAAGAAGAGCTGCAGAGTTTGTTTCTACACACCCCGCACCCAGCTCCTCCCGGTGCTCACGACCCTTAGCTGTGGCACAACCATCAAAAGTAAGAAACAAGCATTAGCGCGATACTAGCGATAAACTGCAGACTCTGTGCTGAGCGCCTGTTTTTCCACTAATGGCTTTTAAAAAAATTTACATGACATTTATTTATCATGTGTTCTTAGTCTAAACTATCCTTGCTTGTCAATTATTCCTTGTCTGTCATGCTGACCTTGACACTTCTGAAATGAGCTGCCAGGTAGCCTGCAAAATGCTCCCGGATTTATTGTGCTTGTCTGATGTTTTCACACGTGTTGGGAGCCGTGGCCGACACCGGTCGCTTTACTTGGCGGACGTGAGGCCTGTAGGAAGGAGCAAAGCCTGAGCTAAATTACCCCTCCCATCGAGTGAGCCAAGTTGGCACCTGCTTCTTGCCCCCTGATTGCCCTGGTGACGTAAACAGCCCACGCAATAGACTGATCTACCCAGCAACTAATGACGATGACCAATCAGCTCACATGCCTGCTGTTGCCCTATTGGACAATGAGTCCGTATATATATGTGTGACCCACGCTGCTAAGAGAGAGAGATAGAGAAAGTCCACCGGCGAGAAAGGGCTGGTGGCAGAGCAGAGGCCTCGCGGGGCCCACACGGAGACAAATAAAGACAAGGTTGCACACCGTCAGAATCTGTCGTGTGTTTTTCCTGCCGGCCAGGAGCGACACCGACATCTGGTGGCCCGTACGGGGACCTGATCACTCCCCTCGGTGGTGTGCAACGCTCCAGCGTGGTGCTGCCGGACAGGTGAGTGGGGGATAAGCCTGGGCTCTGGGTGGCGCGCACCTACAGGGCATTTAGACTCCCCTCAGGCTCACGCGTAGGTGACGGGTTCTCTAAGTCACACGCGGTGAGTTACAGCCCTTAGAGGTTAAAGATGGGTAATTTACCGAGCGCGGAGGCGCGGCCCTTGGTAAAGGCCCTTAGAAAGCTTTTAAAAGCTAGAGACCTCAGGGTAGGTCAAAAAACACTGGAACTATTCATAGCAAAGGTAGATAGGGTGGCTCCCTGGTTTTTACCCACAGGGCATTTAAACCTGCCGTCATGGGAAAAGTTAGGCGGGGACCTCGCCTCGGCGGAATTGGGAGGCGATATTTCGCCGGCTATTCGCCCCCTGTGGGAAATGATACATGCGTGCCTTGAAGGGGAGGGGAAGGGGTTCCCGTCGGCAGTTAGAGACGCGGAAATCATGGACGCACGCAAGGCTTTTGAGCAGGCAAAATCGGAATGCTCTCGGGAGGGATCTGTCCAGGGGGAGAAGATCCAGGGAAAGATAGAGGACACCCAAGCTCTGGAGTCCTCCGACTCAGATAGCGAGGAGGAACCAGAAGGTGGGGCAGGAAGCCGAGAGGCCCGGAATCCCTATGCCGAGTTGCGCCGTGAATTGTGTGCGTGCGCCGCTCGAGAAAAGCAGAGAGAGGAGAAAGGACCCCCGAGCACCCTCTGGCGGGGGGAGGAGATAGAGAGCCATCCGCTCCGCCCTGGAGTTCTTTTCCAGAAGCGGTTCCCCGCCGAGAGGCTGCTACGGGGGACCCTCCCTTCTCTCAGCCGGCACAGGAAGTGACGCCCCGTTCCACTCTGTCGCGACCTCCATCCTATGACGTCGTGCCGCGGGGCGGACGATATTTTCATGGGCGGTTATGGAAGGGTGAACGATGGTTCGGAGGGGATCCACCGATGCAAGGACTAGATTATGGTCCTTATGGAGTATATCCTGTGCAAATGGCCCCAGGCAAAGGGCGCAATGTTTGGGAACCGTTTGAAATAAAACAGATCAGAGAATTAAAAAGCGCTGTCACGACCTTCGGGCCCACAGCTCCTTATACCATAGCTATGCTAGAGAATCTTGCCTCTCAGCCTCTTACACCGGGTGATTGGATGCAGCTGGCCAAGGCATGCCTTCCTTCGGGTAGTTATCTTGATTGGCGAGCCTGGTATGCCGAGTTTGCCATCAAGCAAGCAGAAAAGAATGTTAACAGGGGGCATGCAAGGTGGAATGAAGATATGCTCCAGGGCTCAGGTCAATATAGGGATGACCAAACTCAGTTCCCCAATGAGGTGTATGACCAAATCTCTAATATTGGGCTCCGCGCATGGAAACAGGTGAACGGTGCGGGGGCGGCCTCACTATGCCTTTCAAAGATAGTACAGGGTGCCACAGAGCCATTTGTTGATTTCGTGGCTAGGGTGCAGGACGCGGCTGATAAAGTTTTTTCAGACCAAGAAGTGGCGAAGCCCCTGATCAAACAACTCATTTTTGAACAATGCACAACGGAGTGCAAAGCGGCTCTTGCCCCGCATAAAAACAAGGATCTCAATGCTTGGATTAGGATTTGTAGGGAGATTGGAGGGCAGATGACTGCAGCAAAGCTTGCGGCGGCCTTTGTAGCCGCGACAGCACAAGCTAAGGGTGCTTCTGGACCTAAGCGAGATTGTAAGCCCAAAGGATGTTTTGGCTGCGGGGAACCAGGGCATATTAGGAGAGACTGTCCACACAGTGTTAATACACGGGAAGGGCCAATAGGCGTGTGCGAACGATGCAGGAAGGGAACACACAAAGCGAAAGATTGCAGATCAGTTTTTGATGCCCAGGGAAACCGCATTAGTGGCAGGGAAATTCAGGAGCCAAAAAACGGCCAGAGGGGGCCCTCCTTACGGACGGGCCCCCGCCCCCTAGACAGGACAACACAAAGTGGCAGCCCTCCACAAGGGCTACCCCTGGGTCAGCAGGCGTGGACCTCTGTGTCGCCTCCAGACTCCTATTAACGCCCGATATGGGCGTTCAGGTGGTCGGGACCACCTTCAAGGGACCGCTACCTGAAAAGTCAGTTGGTTTAGTGATTGGACGGTCCTCCACAGCCCTCCGGGGCCTTACCGTGCTCCCTGGGGTTATAGACTCAGACTACACAGGAAACATTAAGATTATGGTCCAATCTCATGTAGGGACCATGGTGATTAATGAGGGGGATAAGATAGCACAACTTTTATTGCTCCCCAGTCTCCATGAGAGATTCCAGTCTAGACAACGGGTTAGAGGGGATCAGGGTTTTGGCTCCTCTGGAGAAATTTTTGAAGGACTTCATATGACTCTTGATAAAAGACCCATGCTCTCGCTCAGGGTTAATGGTAGAAATATAACAGGACTCTTGGATACAGGGGCAGACCGCTCCATTGTCTCCAAGAGGGACTGGCCTTCTAGCTGGCCCACCAATACAGCTGACAACACACTCCAAGGGTTGGGGATGGTGGCTGCCCCCCAGGTTAGTGCCGTGACCCTGCCTTGGTGTGATGAGGAGGGTCACCAAGGACATTTTCAACCTTTTGTTCTACAGCTGCCGGTATCTTTGTGGGGAAGAGACATCCTCACTCAGATGGATGTCACTCTTACATCCACCTGCTCTCCTCAAGCCAAGGGTATACTTAAGAATCAGGGATATGTTCCCAGCAAGGGCCTGGGCTTTGCCCTGCAGGGCCGGACATCTCCCGTACCTGTAGAGAAAAGGGAAGGTAGACACGGGCTGGGTTTTTCCTAGGGGCCGCTGAGGAAGTTCTCCTGCCTACTCCAATTAAGATCACTTGGAAGTCCCTGAATCCAGTTTGGGTACCTCAGTGGCCCCTACCCAAGGAGAAGCTTTTAGCGTTAACCGAGATAGTCAAAACCCAGCTTCAGGCAGGGCACATAAAGCCATCAACCTCCCCTTGGAATACCCCTGTTTTTGTTATTAGAAAGAAATCAGGCAAGTGGAGGCTGCTCCATGATTTAAGGGCGGTCAACGCGCAGATGCAGCCCCTGGGGGCAGTCCAGAGGGGGCTGCCAGCTCTCTCAGCCATCCCTCAGTCTTGGCCGATTTATGTTATAGATCTTAGAGACTGTTTCTTCTCCATCCCCCTGCATCCAGAGGACACCCATAGGTTCGCCTTTACCTTACCCACCATTAACCAAGAAAGCCCTGATCTCAGATACAAGTGGATAACGCTGCCCCAAGGTATGGCCAACAGTCCCACTATGTGTCAGATTTACCTTGATTCCCTACTGGCCCCCCTACGGAAATCCTTTCCCAAGATAAGATGTGTGCATTACATGGACGACCTTTTGCTCAGTGGCAGGGACCCAGACATGCTGAATAATATGCTCGGCCAGTTGGTCGAGGCCCTGAGAAAGGCTAATCTACATATTGCCCCTGACAAGATTCAAGGAGGAGACATAGTGACTTACTTGGGTACCAAAGTCTCCCCTACATCGATTTCTCCACAGAAGGTAACCATCAGAACAGATAATCTTACAACCCTAAATGACATGCAAAAGTTACTGGGAGATATAAATTGGATCAGACCTTACTTGCACATCCCTAATTCAGACTTAAAGCCCCTGTTTGATCTCCTAAGAGGGGATCCGGATACTGCCTCCCCTAGAGAGTTCACCCCAGAGGCCAGAGTTGCTCTAAAAAAGATAGAAGAGGCCCTAAGCAAAGCTACATTACAGAGAATTGACCCAGAACAGCCTTTTGAGGTCTGCTTGTTGCAGACCAGTTCCCAGCCCACGGCAGTGATTTGGCAGAAAGGACCACTTCTGTGGGTGCACCCTAAGGTTTCACCTGCCAAGATTATTGAACATTACCCGGAAGCAGTTGCTTCTCTGGCTCTGGAGGCACATAGTAGAGCCATCCAGCATTTTGGCTCCACGCCTCATGCTATTCGGGTGCCTTATACCGCTTCTCAAATAAAAATTCTGACTGCTTGCATAGATACTTGGGCCATCCTGAGATGTGTATTTCTTGGGGAGATAGACAATCAGTTCCCTAAGGACCCTATACTACAGTTTATTACTCAACATCCGGTGATATTTCCAAAAATCACCGCCCCTGCACCCCTTACTCCTGCAACAACAGTCTATACTGATGGGTCAAAAACCGGGATAGGGGCCTATGTGGTCTTGGGCATGCCTCCAGTTAACATACAGTTTGAACCAGATCAACCACAGGTGGTGGAGTTACAAATTGTACAAACCGTCCTCGAGAAGTTCCCAGGGGCCCTTAATATTGTTTCTGATTCGAAATATGTTGTCAATGCCATGCAGGTCCTTGAGACTGCAGGCCCAATTAAACCAACCTCCAAAGTAACTAACTTGTTTTTGTCTATCCAGACATTGCTCATGAATAGATACAACAAAATATACATCACTCACATAAGGGCACATACACACCTACCAGGGCCCATGGTACAGGGCAATGCGGCTGCTGACGCGGCCACTTGCCCGTTATGGATTTTCAATATGTTATCTCCAATAGAGCAAGCCCGTCAGTTCCATGACGAATTCCATGTCAATGCCAGGACGCTAGCCAACCAGTACCGCATCTCCAGGGCTGACGCGCGGGACATCATGCGCCACACACACGCCTGCCATATCAATGGGGGTTAACCCCAGAGGGTTGATCCCTGGCGATATTTGGCAAATGGATGTCACACACATAACAGAATTTGGATCTCTTAAGTATGTCCATGTCTCCACGGACACCTGTTCTCATATTATATTTGCAACTGCAGAGACAGGTGAAAAGGTATCTAATGTGATCAATCATTGCTTAGCGGCTTGGGCCGCGTGGGGCAAGCCCAAAATATTAAAGACAGACAACGGACCAGCCTATACAGGAAAAGCCTTCAATGAGTTCTGTAAGACTATGGAAGTACACTTAAAACATGGGATCCCATATAATCCTCAAGGCCAAGGAATTATTGAAAGAGCTCACAAAAGCCTCAAAGAAATCTTATATAAACAAAAAGGGGGAGTAGGCCAGGGCCTGCCCCCAAAGGCACGGCTATCCATGGCACTATTCACATACAATTTTTTAAACCTGAACAATAACAACCACCCCCCGGCTATGGAGCATTGTAATCCATCTCCTAGCAATAAGGGATGGGTAAAATGGAAAGATGTCCTGACGGGACAATGGATGGGCCCGGATCCGGTAGTCAGCTGGAACCGCGGTACGGTTTGTGTTTTCCCGCAGGAACCGGGACGAGAACCATTGTGGGTCCCAGAAAGACTGACGCGTGCGACAAGCCCTTCGACTGAAGACTAATCCTGTCCTGCCGGAGACCAGCAGCAGGCCTGACAGCCAGATGAACCCGAAAAAGGCTGCTTTTTTCGTTGGGGGCGTTGTCCTAGCACTCCTCAGGATAAGTATGGTACATGCGGGGCTGGGGGGCCCCGCTTCTGGAATAGATCTTCGCACGAGCCTTCTTGGCAGTCCGTGCGATTGCGGAGGTGGCACGGTAAGCAGTATACCACCTAGCGCCAAAAAAGGACCAGGGACCGATTGTGGGGATAAAACAGCTTACTCAGTTGTGTACAGCTCCACTGCAGGAGGATTTAGTCAACCATCCTATCAGTGCATACTTAAGCCTAAGGTGAGTCCCTCAGGGCCTGGTGATCTCGCCACATGTCCCTGCACTAAGTTTGAGGAATCCATGCATGTTACATGCTATACAGAGACAAAACAATGCAAACTCAAGAGTACAACCTATTGGATGGCAACGCTAACTACAACTAAAAGCCCTGTTGCCCCTAACCATATTCCCGCTGCTGTAGGCGGTTCCCCATTCATGCAGTCAGGTTGTAATGGAGAGGTTGGAGAAACGGTCTGTTGGTCTATGACCGCTCCCGTTCACATCTCTGACGGTGGAGGGGTCCAAGACCAGTACCGGCAGGAGCAGGTCATCGAGCGATGGGAACAATTAAATCCGTTCCCTGAAGTCAATTACCATCCACTCCTATGCCCAAAATCCCGAGGCATTAACCTTGACCCCGCTACTGAATCCATATTAGAGGCTACCCACAAAGCACTCAATCTTACTGACCCAGGGCTGGCCTCCGATTGTTGGCTGTGTATGATGATGGGAGAATCATGGCCGTTGGCCATGCCGTTTAGAGACAATGAAAGTGAACCTTACAATTACAACGCACCCTATAATTGCTCACATGGGCCTCCATTTCGGGTCCAGTTTATGGGACAGTTTAATGCATCCTGTTTCCAAAAGTACCCACAAAATAATAGTTATGATATTGTTGTTGGAGCGCTGGCAGTCGCCTCGTGTGAGTCCATAACCAATGTAAGTAGTAGCTCGCCGCTATGTGCCCCCTTTGGCAAAGTATTTGCTTGCGGCAATGGTCATGCTTATACTTACCTGCCCAGTAATTGGACCGGCCTATGTGGCCTAGCTTACTTGTTGCCTGACATTGGTATTGTCCCTGGGGACCAACCCATGCCCATCCCAGCTGTGGACACCTTTATAAAAAGACATAAGAGAGATGTACTGATTTTACCTCTCTTGGCTGGTCTGGGGATAACTGGAGCCCTGGCCGCCGGGACTGCGGGCCTAGGAGTTTCATTAACCAAATATACTCAGTTATCCAAGCAATTGATAGAAGACATGTCTATAGTTGAGAGAACCCTTCAGGAGATACAAGATCAAATTGATTCCCTTGCAGAGGTTGTTCTGCAGAATAGAAGGGGCCTAGATCTACTCACTGTAGAGAGGGGAGGTATCTGTATTGCCTTACAGGAAAGATGCTGCTTTTATGCCAACAAGTCCGGAATCGTTCGAGACTGATTAAAGAAACTGCAAGAAGACCTAGAAAAGAGAAGAAAAGAACTACAAGACAATCCCTTTTGGGGAGCCTGGAATGGCTTGCTCCCCTATATTTTACCATTGTTAGGTCCCCTGTGCTCCTTGCTTCTGCTCTTACTTGTAGGACCATGCTTGCTCCGATGGGTCACATCGTTCATTAATGGACGCCTTGCGGCGGCACGTCGTCAGGTCCGCATGGTTGCCCATGCGGCCCTGGCAGCAGCCCGTGATGGGCACAATGACCCCCAGGCTTACGCATGGCTCGCTCGACTGGCCTACGACCGGGTCTAGATGTGGCGGGTCTTCCGCACTCCTTCCCTATTGACACCACACAGCAGGGTAGGTGAGTCAATGACGGGTAAGAGCGTGCCTCCCCAGCACGACTCGACCTAAGCCAGGCCCTACCCCATACTGCACGAAAGCCGCTGGATTACTAGAATCTGCCCAGATCTAGATGTCTCTCCGAGGGGATCGCACGGAGGGGCATGAGTGCATGCCTATGTGCATCCAGGTTCCGTCCAGTTCACTCCTGGCCCTGGAAAAAGGACGAGGGTCTCAAGGCCTTGGTGGACCCGGGGACGGCCGACCAGGGTCCAAGCCAAGGGCCTACGGTGGGCCTCAACACAGGGCATAAGCCTCTGCACTTGATCCAGGGCGGGCTGCGATGCATACATTCATTCAAAATAAATAAAATAGGGGGAGATGTTGGGAGCCGCGGCCGACACCGGTCGCTTTACTTGGCGGACGTGGGGCCTGTAGGAAGGAGCAAAGCCTGAGCTAAATTACCCCTCCCATCGAGTGAGCCAAGTTGGCGCCTGCTTCTTGCCCCCTGATTGCCCTGGTGACGTAAACAGCCCACGCAATAGACTGATCTACCCAGCAACTAATGACGGTGACCAATCAGCTCACATGCCTGCTGTTGCCCTATTGGACAATGAGTCCGTATATATGTGTGTGACCCACGCTGCTAAGAGAGAGAGATAGAGAAAGTCCACCGGCGAGAAAGGGCTGGTGGCAGAGCAGAGGCCTCGCGGGGCCCACGCGGAGACAAATAAAGACAAGGTTGCACACCGTCAGAATCTGTCGTGTGTTTTTCCTGCCGGCCGGGAGCGACACCGACACACACGCTCAGACTGAGCTGTAGATTTTGGGGAAGAACACCTCAGATTTGATGGTGCTACTCTCAAGGACATGAAATGTCAGAATGACCTGGGATGCTAACCTGGACCTCCGGCTGAAGGTCATGTCCTCCAGGGTTCCCAGCTATAAAGATAGGAATATCTTTTCCTGCTAGATGTGACACACCAAGTGCAACGCGTAACCTGGGACAAGGAGATAATCCTGTCTTCTGGAAAGAGAAATACCAAAGTCGTGGACATATTGGCTCATAAACATATCTCAAAGATTTGTCAGAAGTGTGCAGTAGTCTGAGCTGCTTTGATATCGCACCCTTTAGGGACAGCCATTGTCACTGTGGCGTGTCAGTGCCGAGGCCCACGTTCCTTCATCCTTCTGTGTTTGTCCATGGGATCCCTTGGCGTGAAAAGCTTCCCTTTCTTCTTTATTTTTATTTATCAACGATTTCTAACAGTGTAGACTTACAGACATTTATTTTATTCTTTGGGCTGTTGCTCTAAGCTGTCATTGACATTTCCTAACTCAAGGGATCTCAACTTTGTCCCAGGGCTCGCTTTCGGGTTGGCGCTAATGATTTAAAGACGTACATCCTGCTGACATATTTCTGCTTTTTAAAGCATTTTCCTTAGTTTCTGTTATCAACATATTCAATTGTGTTATCTTCTTTCTCCAGTCCTGGAATGGGTCATTCTGTATAGAGCTCGGAATAGAGAGATCAGGATTGATTTCTGTCTCTTCCCTAGAAAAATGTACATGCACACATGTACATTCTCATCTATGTGTATGACATAGTAACATATAATTGAACAAAAACCACTCTGAACTGTGGTTATGCTACACAGTTTAGATCCAGCTGGAGATACACATGTGTATAGATGCATATATATATACACACATTTCAAAAAATGTAAGTTCATTTTTATCTACCCAACTCCAACCCAGCATCATGGGCTCCTTCTACCCTACCATTCTTTATCATAATATCTTTTTATGAAAGAGAAAAACTCTTTTAATTGGTCAGTTATGTATTGTTTTGTCAATATCTAGAATATATTTAAAGTAATTTCAAAACAACCAACCTGCACTACTGTGAGAAACAGATTTTTCATTCAGAAACTGGGCTTACGCACAGCACGTTTTGTCTTCAGGCTCTTTAGGTTTCGTTGGAATCACTGCTTCCCCAAGATAGACCCGGAGGCCTCTTTTCTGCCCCGCACCCTAAGTGTGGTTGTGCCCTGCAGCCGAGGTCCAGCTGGAGCCACGTGCCAGGACCTGCGTTTCATCGTGGGTTGTGGGACCCTCTGATTTCCTGCCTGCTTGCATTATCAGGGAACAGAGAAGGGGTCATGGGCTTCCCTGAGGCTCACTTCAGACCTATTAGAGGTGACTTAAAGTACGCAGGTGGGTATGTGCGCGTTATACGCAGACATTATACCTCTCTACATCAGCAACTTGAGTAGCCACAGATTTTTAAATCTGGGAGGGGTCTGGGACTAATCTTCCTTGAATGTCGAGGGGTGATGGTAGTTTGAATCTCTGCTAGATGTAGGCACTTTCAGGATTAATACATCATCTCAGAAAATTAAAGTGTGTATTGTTGATGTTGAGTTTTATCTTTGATAATATTCCTTCTTTTGAAGTTAACACTCTGTGTAATTTTTGGTCACTTTTTGTAATTTAAAGTGGATTTGAAGTCTGGATAGTGGTAGTCAGGTCTTACTTTGTACCCAATTTCAAAATCTCAATTTTTAAAAATGATGTATGTACCCCAGTTCCTTCCCATGGGATTACAGATATGACTGAATTAACAACTACTTTATTGCTTGATGCTTTTTATCTGTTCTTTTCTGACTCCTTTTGGACTTTTTGAGGATTTTGTTTCCTCTCTTGACTTACTTATACCATTTAAAACTTTTAGGGATGGTCCCAAAGTTTATAATACATATTTTAATTAATCTGAGTCTACTTTTGAGTAAGAGTATTCTGTTCATCTAATTCAAGAATCATACAAGAGTATATTTCCACCCACACCATCCTTTGTAATATTGTCACATGTCTTAAATTTATATTTGCTGCAAACATAAATGCATTATATTTTATTGTTTTTATCCTATTTCCATTGATCCACATTTCATTTTCTACATCCTGATTCCAAATGTGTATTCCCTTTGCTTCTAGGATTCCCAATAATACTTTTTGTCTAGTAGGTCTGTTAGCAGTTTACTATCTTGGGTTTTGTTTGTGTGAGATTATTTTTAATTCCTATTCTTGTAAGTTTGCATCTTTCATAAAAACACACTAAGTAAAATAGTTTTCTCTCTCCTTTTCATGCACACCGTTAAACTCACCCCTAATTCTTGGCATCAATGACTCTATTATCTGTCCCTAGAGCTCTGTGTTTTTGAGAATACCATATAAACGGAATATATGGTACCCACCATAACACCATTGCGATTAGTCTAAATCGTTAAGTATCAGTATTTTATTTCCTTTTTGCTGTTGAACAGCACTCTGTTGCATGGTGATATTGCAGCTTTCTTTTATTCCATGAAGCATATTTGCACTATTCTGCACATTTAGCAATTGTGAATGGAGCGTCTATCAGTATTCATAGATTAGTTTTTGTAGAAACACAAGCTTTCATTTTCCTAGAGCACACATTCTCGATGAAGAAAGTAACATTCCTAAGGCAAAAGATTTGATTTGGGGGCAACATTATCCTCCACTTCCTATGTATAAAGCACAGATATACATAAGTAAACAGATAGTGTGTCCATAGCACTCAGTTTCACAGGGAGATAACTAGCAAAGTAACTTGAAGAGGTAATGGAAAACATGCTTACAAACATCATTCTGGACTAGATTCTTAGATGCCTGACCATATAACAAATGGTCAAAATAGTTACAAACTAGCCACAATATTTGCATTCCCACCACAGTGTACATGGATGGCTCCCGGTTGCCGTATACCCGCGCCCACTGCTGGTGTTGCCAGGGCTTTTAATGAGCCATTCTTGTAGGTCTGTTCTGATACTTTATTATTGTTTTATTTTGCATTTACCTAATGACTAACATGAGAGCAAATGCTTTATATGCTAATTTGTCATCTTTATATCATCTTGGTGGAGTTTACTCAGGTCTCCATGATTTTTTTTTAAAAAACCTTTTTCATGGGAATTTAGATTTCCAGAAAAACTACTTAGAGAGCACAGAACCCCATACACTACCCGTCTCCCCACTGTGTGTCCCTATTATTAATGTTTTTGCATTAACCTGATACATGTACTACAGCAGCGGACCAGGATGGATGGTCCTGACTTTTATTAGTCAAAGGCCACAGTCCATGTTAGGCTTCACTCTGTACAGTTGTATGGGTTTGAGCAAACGTGTGATGCTATGTATCTACCATTATAGTGTCATACAGAACTACAACACCCCGCAGACCACCTGTTTACCCAGCCTTCCCTCCACCTCAAACCACGGCAGTCACTGGGTTTTGCACTGTCTGTACAGCTTTCCTTTCTGTCCAGAATGTCACACGGTCGGAATCCTAGTACAGAAACACTTTAGACTGGCTTCTTTTGCTTATATACTTTTGTTCTTTGTGTAACATTTCATCGCTTAATAGCTTA